TGCAAGGGACTAGTAAACGTGTCATTTCCGCCCTTGCACCCGTCGTGTTTTATGAATACATCGCAGGTAAGTCATTTTTATTTATTTCATTGAAGGAAAAATTCGATTTAACGTTATTTAGCGTTCGCAGTTCTCAGTATTTTATTTCTAATACAAAGTCTCATATTTTCAACGATCGCCTGTAACAGGACAACGACGCGTCTAGCAAAAAGGTCACGCGTCACTTATGGTAAGTAGATTACTTTACACCCTTTCCTCGCAACGTGAGTTTGGGTCGCCTGTGGTCTCAGTTCTTAATCAAAAATCCCTCTCACTTCTCAGCCGACGATAAAAATTTGGACAAATTCTCAATGTGTCAGTGTCCTCGACTGGGCCTCTTTCAAAAGTTTTTTTTTTTCACTAGATCTAATCATAAAACATGTAATTAATTTCATTTTTAACTCAAAAGGAAACTTTTCTTATAAAATTTGACATCTTACATTCGTGCCACTATATTATTGTCATACATGAAATGAATAAGCCGCATTTGACACCATACAGTTCCTGCGTACGGCTCTTTACTTGAGTCCAGTAATTTAGCAGGTAGAAACCTCTTGAGCTGTTCTCAGTGGCTTGTCTGGTTCTTAATACTTGGCCAATTTGCCTTAAATAAAATAATACAGTTAATCTTGGGTATGGCCTAGGACGCCTAACGCCGTTCACGCGCTAAGCTCACTTAGCAGCATTTCAGCATCTTACGAAAAGCGTTTCTAAATTCTTCATTTTTCCATCCATAGATAAGAGGGTTGCATATGGTATTCAAAAACATAGCCACGTTGTAGACGATCTTGTGTAGTCTGAACAGTTGATGGTACCAGCCCCCGTGTGATTTGCCACGGAAGACTCGGAGGGTTGTCACAACCAGCAAAGCGATGATACTGAGTAGACACAGCGCTACAACAATGGCGAGAGTACGGGCACCTTTCAAGTGATGCTCAATGGTGGGCATTCCTGTGACGTCGCGGCCCTGTCCTTTGACAAATCGTCTCTGTTTGTAGGACACTATGAAGATGTAGGTGTACGAGCATAAAATGATCAGGAAGGGGACAAGAAACATTGACGTAGCAGTGAATACAAGATGCCATCTGATGGGGTGCACTTGGGTTGTATTGTGTGTTGTATTACATTCATGTGTATTCATATGTCGGTGAAAGTTTCCGAAACCCTTGCCTGTTGTCTTCTGAAGAACCACTGGAACAGCCACATTAACGACCAGAGCCCACAGCCACATCGCGATGGAAACGATCCGTGCTCGGCGTTTGGTCACTATGGCTTGGTATCTTAAGGCGAACTTGATGGCGATGAAACGTTCTGAACTCATTAAGCTGAGATGAAGAACAATAACCGAAAGGAGGAACAAGGTGATAGTTCCGTCTACTTTCTTAAGAATATGCATACGCATATCTGGACAATGCCCAACATTATACTTAAGGCATAAATGAATGATATCAAGAATCAAGGGAATCGCTAGTAAGCCGTCGGCGATAGACAAACTCACCAGAATGTTGTTGGAAGCAGTTCGCAGGTTCCGAAATTTGTGGAACGCTCTTATCACGAAATAACTCCCGAGCAAAGCAATGATTGTGATAATCACATGAACGTTCAACAGTAGAATAAATTTCCACTTCGGTAAGGGATTTTTCTTCATGCTCATTGCGGGAGGAGTCGTGAAATTCTTTTGTGTTTCATTCATTGAAGAAGGAAGATTGTGCCACCTATGTTGCCTATACAGTTCGGAACACTTACTCCTACCACTGTTGTACCGTTTCGTATCATAGTGGAACTATATAAATATTCATTGGTCAGCTATGGCCAGGTGAAATCAACTCTTGTATATGATAGCTATAACAACTATTGAGGATGTTCCTTTTGTTTTAATAGCGTCAAAACAAATACGACGCATCTGGGATAAAGGTAAAATTAAACCATTTCTATTAACCAAGATCCAATAACCGCGATTGTCCATAAAATATGCAGGTTTATGTCAGGTAACTGTCTTAATTACCGCCTTCTAAAACGTCAAACTCTACATTTCCTCGCAAATTCATTGAGAATCCATTAAGAAAGTAAATAGCTAGCATGTCAAAATTGCATCGTATAAAGTTAAGAAAATAAAACTAGTTATCACGCAGTAATTTTTATACTGACTGCGTTGAACGGTGAAATGAATAAGTACAAAGTCAAATAATTCGTAAAAAAGAACCTTATATTTGGCCTAGAAAGAAAAAGAAAAAAAGAACTGTGGCACTATTAATAACAAGTAGTTGCACAGCAGGCTTTGAAAGTTTCATAAACTAGTAAGGGCGTCTTATCGAGTTTAAAATACAAGGAAGAGCCGAACATGTAAGACGTGCGAGCTTATCAACAGATCTGAAAACCTCTCCTAAATACTCCTTTGAATTAATGCTATTATTGTTATTATTATTATTATTATTATTATTATTATTATTATTATTATTAT